TTTCCAATTTTCAACTTCTTGCGATATATTTTCATTTCCATGGAAGTTTAAAAACGTTGCACGGGCCAAGGCCCGAAAAGCCCAAATATAGCCCTGTCAAACTAGCCGCTATGCACAAAATCCAAGCCCGAAATAAAAGAACAAATGAACAGGGAATAGGTGAAAGTGAAGTCATTTTTCTTAACGTTTTCAAGATTTCTTGATCAGACTATTTCCAATTTTCAACTTCTTGCGGTATATTTTCATTTCCGTGGAAGTTTAAAAACGTTGCACGGGCCAAGGCCCGAAAAGCCCAAATATAGCCCCGTCAAACTAGCCACTACCGCTATGCACAAAATCCAAGCCCGGAATAAAAGAACAAATGATCAAGGAATAGGTGAAAGTTTTAGCGGAGTGAAGGATAAATCTTTTCTTTTTAACTTTATAGCTGACAAAACAAATAATAGTAACTGTGTAAGTTCGAATTTAGATGAATTTGATATGTATATGATCGCTAACTTTTATTATGTGTATGAAACAAAATCAGTGGAATGTTTAATATTTTTGCAATGGTGGAAAACGCAATTCCCCGTCATGGCCACAATTGCCCAGAAGTTAGTAACGGTTTAAGCTAGTACGATAGCCTTAGAATCAACTTTTTTCGAGTGACAAAATTCTAAACGACTGAAGGTCATGTCTTTCCAAAGAATTGACGGACGTGCATGTGTTTGAACGACTATTATGATAGTAATGAAAGAATTTAAGACAAAGAATCGTTAAAAAACTGTCTTATTGAAATCAATGATGGAGGAAGAACGAAATGCATTCACAACTTTAAACACCATTGATGTGGAGTTAGAAAATATTTCACTGAACCTTGTCATTTAGAGGAACGAGAAGTTCTAACAAGGTTTCCGTAAATGCACCTGCGAAAAGATTATTGTCGAAACTTGCACAGCAGAACGACCAATTGGGTGAATTGTGTTGCTGAAATCGCATCAAGAAAATGTTGTTGCAATCTTGACAAAAGCTTCCAAGGGTTGCTAACTCTTTCAAGGTCAAGTGCAACGAACATTTGCAACGGATGAATTCATCGACGATGTTGCGTAATAGCAACAAAAATAAAAGTTGTTGCAATTTTGACGAAACTATCATTGAAAACTGAACTAAAGATGCACGAAAAAGCCCTACCCAAAAAGCCTAGTTCAGATCAAGCAAAAAAGCCCGATCAAGACATACTTTTCAATAGCCCAGTTTAAAAAAAAAGCCTGAGCAGACCTATTTTCTCACCCAACCTAGATTTTTTAAGACCCGACTTGTGTCTACTCACTAAAAATGGGCTTGGAAGGCCTGGGCTCAGGCCAAAAAAGCCCGCAAGTATATATAACAAGCCGAGAGGGGTAGAGTAAGATCCGATTCAAGGTAAAAGATAACGTTAAATTCCAAGTTCCGAACAACCAAAGGTTCGTTATTGCACTCTTCATACGGAAACGATAATAACTACGTTACAAGTACAACAACCGATATGCTCCTAGGGCAAACATTTTAAATGTAAAAACGATACCAAGGCCTTTGGACATGCCAAACCCAAATTATTAGTTCAAAATCCACCAATTGAGGTCCAATTTTATATCAACTTATGGATGGTGTTCATATCGATTGCTTCAACGAGCGTCCCCTTTTGAACATGATCCCACCACTTGAATAAGAAGTTGTCGACAACCAACCTGAACCACGGGGATAGCTTCAAACCCTCCTCACCGGCATCTGCCTTTCGTAGCAACTCTTTCAACTCTTCTTGGTTCACGTATTTGATATCCGCCACTTCGTCTGGGTTCGGGTTCACGGCAACGTCACGGACTATGAAGAGTAGGTAATCGACTGAAAAAGCATGCCAAAAGAAATTAGATAAGTTTTAGACTGTTGGAGCCTCATATCAGCTAGACACGGACCATCAAGCTAGGAACTTCCCCTCTATACAAGGGCTATTTTAGAGGAAAAAATCAAAGGGGTTCCACATTTCCTAATAAAGATGATTGAAACTATATCATATATTGTAACAAACTACTTGTATGTTATGCTGTTATATCGGTCAGAATACAAAATATCGGTCAGGACCGATATTCGATATATCGGATATATCGGTAATATATCGGTCCAAAATAGCGGTTAACATAATATTTCTTAGGGGGTGTTTGGTTCACAGAATGAAATTTGATGGAATTGTAATCCATCAAAGGAATTTGACTTTGAAGGAATTGGAATGGAATTTGACCATGTGTTTGGTTGGTAGGAATTTGAATGAAATCTCTCAATAGAATTGAAACAATCATCTTTGTATGGACTATCCCATCCATCGCCCCGCCACACACCCTACCAGCCACCATGTYACTAATGTCGTCGTCACAACTATCACCCGCCCTTCCCCCACCACTTCTGCCCTACCCTGCTCCATAGGTGGGGATTGTTGCGGGCAGGCAGGGGTGGGGCGAGGCAGTGGGTTTGAAGCCAAAGTGGGGCAATAGGTGGCAATGTGATAGTTGTGATGACTACAGTGGTAGGATGGTGGTTAGTGATGGGATAGAGTAGGGTAAGGTAGGGTGGGGCAAGGCAGGACGGTGGGGTGGGTAGGGGTAGGTGGCGGGGTGGTAGATGTGATGATGCTAGTGGTGGGATAGTGGTCGGGAGGCTGGAGCCAGGGAGTGGGTTGGTATGACGACAATAATAGTGGCATGGTGTTTAGTGGTGGGTTGGGGTAGGGTGGGGTGCGGGTGAATGGCGGTTGTGAAGGCGACAATAGTAGTGTCGGGGTGGAGGGTTAGGTTAAGGGCGGTAGGGGCAGGGAGGTGGGGATCAATGACAGTTGTGACGATGATAGTGGTGGGATGATGGTCAGGGTGATTGGGAGTGGGTGGATATGATGACGACAGTAGTGACATAGTGGCTGGTGGTGGTTAGGGTAAGGTGCGGTAGGGTGAGTGGCAGTTGTGACGACGACAATAATGTTGTGGTGGTGGGGGTTAGGTTAGGGGGGTGACACTAACGTTAGTAGCATAGTCGTAGTAGGGATGTGTAGTGAGTGACCGGAGGGTGGGTGGGTGTGATGACAACAGTAGTGGCATAGTGGTTAAGGTGGGGTAAGGTGGGTGGCAGCGACATTAGTGGTGGGGGTTAAGGGTGGGACATCATGAACAATAGTAGAATGATCGTGGTGGATGGTGATGGAATTCAATTTCTTCCATTATGCCAAGTAATGATGAATTCATTAACTTGTGGAATTCAATGGAATTTGAAGGATTCCATCCATTCAAGAAATGAACCAAACAAAGGAATTGAAATTTGGTCAAAGGAATTTGTCATTCCAATTCCATCAAATTCCTTCGAATTCCGCGAATCAAACGACCCCTTAGAATTATATATATAATATGCATTAATTAGATTTTAGAAATATAGTTTCAAAATTAAAACATCACATCATCTAAAGTGTTCAAAAACGAGCTAATCGCAAGCAATAGGTTCGTCATCCGAGAAAAGAAGCCAAACCGTGACTCCGTGAGAAGTCTGAAGTCGTGATTCGTGAAGTGAACTAGGTGTCTATGAAGTGTGAAGTCGTAACTCGTAAAGATGAAAAGAAAGGAAGAAGACCGTTGGAAGACAGACTATTAATTTCAGACCTAATAATATATGTTACCAAGCCCAAAAAACTAAGCCCATGAAATAACAAAAGCCCAAATAATTGAACCCTAAAAAATCGATATATCGGTCCGATATATACATCATAATATCGCTAAATATCGGGAAAAATCGGAAAATATCGCCGATAATATTGGGGACGATATTTTGACCGATATTTATGCAGCGATATTTTGCCTAGGTCCGATATCCGATATATCGCCGATATATCGACGATATATCACGATATTAACAGCATAGCTTGTATGTAACCAGAGTTGACATTTAGAACCATCGTACTTGTAAACAAACTACCGTTCTAACCAAGTTTCTTTTTTATAACCATGGGTGTACGGGTCAGCTAGTGCACACCAGGACTAATCTCATGGGGCCTTGGAGATAAATCCCCATCTTGAGGAGACTCTAACCGGCAACCAACTGGGGGATCCCCAAGGCCTAACCTTTATTTGTGAGTTGAGCTAACCCTCAAGGTTAATGTTAACCAGTTGGGGTATGTATTTGAAAGCATACATCTGTCCCAGAATTAAACTCCATTTCTATTCTGAAAATTCAAACCAACTACCACCAAAATAGAAGTTCATATTGATGTTTATTAATTTTTCAGCTAAATTATTTTAAGAATATGGACTGATTTATCATCATATGGTACACCTAAAAAGCAATTGGTATTTGTTGTCTACATGCTATGATAGATGTCAGGTCTGTATACATCTTAATACCCTACCCCACCCCACCTCTGGGTACGATATACTAGGCTCGTTTGGTTTGGTTTTGTCTAGACTTAGTCCAACTTAAGTACTATGATAGACGTCTAGAGTAATCCATAGTAAGCATATAATTGAAGGGAAATAACTCGAGCCAAGATTTTGGGATAAGAAATTTTACGTTCATGTTCTCCCCACTTCCCGTCAGATGGGGCCTTGTAGAGCATGCGACCTAAGGGAGTAAACTGATCAACTGGAACATCTTCAGCAGGGATACCGAGTTCGTCCAAAAGCTTTCTCTGTGCAGCATTCCTGACCCCTGATTGCAATTCAGAGGAACACAAATGAGTAGGCATTCCTAACAACGATTAATCTGGATGATATTGAAATTTGCATTACCAAGAGAATCTTCTTTAATAAGCTCGGTTTCTCTGTATAGCGGATGGCTGCAACAGGTGTTGGTCCATACCAAAGGGAATGTCACCTTGGTTGCAGAGCGTTGCTGTAAATACACCACATATTAGACGGCTTACTCTAGAAAGAAGAAAAAAAGATATAGTAAACGAAACAAAAACAAAACTAATACCGACACATGGACATAATCAAATGAGAACCTCAAAACAGTTGACAACCGCGAGAACCAGTGAATCATGTGTTGTTTCACATTTCGAAACACACGCAAAAAAAATTCAAATCGTGAAACAAATACATCACAAAACAAATATACGTCAAACAATACCTTATATCCTAGCCTTAGGTGGAAAAGATCATGTGAAGTAATACATTAAAATTGGTTCTTACAGATTTGTAACCTTTTTGTGGTTCTCACATGATTGGCCTCCAATGACACATAATCGTTTTATCATCCAGGAAAGGTCGATATATAATGGAGGATGGTAAACCAGCCAAACATAAGAAGCAAAGGAAGAACAACCATGAGAGGCTGCCAGAAAAGTATTTAAAGCCGGAGGTTTGGGGATCTTTTTCAAAGACATAACAGTAAAAAGGATCAGAAGAAACCAACTAGATGTCAAGATAACAGCACATGGGTGGTGATTAAACAAATGCTAAACCTCAGAACAGCCCTGAAGATTTTCCTCCTAGCGACCATTAAAACAACCTACATATAACAAGTAAACCCTTTTCATAGCCACCTTCTTTGCAACTGTTTTTACTTGAAGGCAAATAGCAGTTACTTCTCAACAGTTGTAGCTGCTCTTTAAATAAAGATGAGGGTTTTTAAGTTCAATGACCTTCATATAAACTGAAAGCAAAATATTAGTTTGTTCTGAATGTTCTTCAGGGTGAGGGGTGCTACACAGAGCCCCATCACCTTTTGGTGCCATTCAAGACCATATCACTTCTTTGCTACAACATAAATAAATAAAAAGAGAAAGTGACAATGACCATGCATGAGTCAACTCATGCAAACCTCCATAATTATTTCAAAGTAATCTACCTGAAGGAGTAACTCGTATTTTGAATTGAACAAAAATACGCTGAATGCTCTGTGCAGCAAGTTTTCTTTTTCAATCTTCTCCATCAAGTGACCTACATATTCAGAATTTATGTTAATAGTAACACAAACAATGACAATAATCATATATGAAATGATGATTACAGTGGCATCTCTGACATGTAGAAATAATCAGCAATTACACCAGTTTAACCTGGTAGCACTTATATTACCAATAAGCAAACTCAGTAAAGACTGTTTGAGATCATGCAGAGAATGGAGGTGGAAACTCTGCGCTATATTTCTTAATGTAAAAGGATCTCAAAGGACAGGATGACTTCAGCACTAGGCAATAGAATGGCTACATATAGCAACTCTGCCTCTTGAAGGTGCACATACAACCTTTTGAGTTCAAATATTTCAAGAATAGCATCGAAAATAACCACCATGTAGAGACAAGATGTTAAAAAATACATTTAGAAGACAATAATGCCTTCAAATAATTGTATATTCTCAACTAAAAATTTCTCAAATATTCTCAGTGATGCTATAGCAATATCCTACCTTGTGAACAAGGTGGGCAAATTAAGTGTATTTGCAGAACAAAAGCTGCCAGCAGTCGTCGTTAACTAATTAAGGACTTCCGAGGCTGTAGCTAGCATACTCGATTATAGAAAAGTAACCAAGGCCTACAGGTTAGAAGTATACCATGGTAATAAAATGCAACAAGGATTGCTAGAGAAGTAGCTAATATCCTTGGTGTTCTAGAATATGGTCTATACTTCAAAGCATACCAACAGGTTTATATAGCAATAACAGTGTGTTATCAATTCTCAAAAGGCAAGAAACACAATTCTGTAACTGTGTGGATTGGACATAGTCACATAGAATTTCTTTTTATTGCATAAAGTACAAAATCTTAGCTTGTAAAATTGTTCAGGAGTCATTCTTGCTCAAAAGGAAGGTTGAAAATGTTTGCTTGACGGATACAAAACACCCATGCTTTAGCACCTGGTGCAGTTCTTGGCATTTAGATTTCCCTCCCCCCCCCCCTCCCTTCCCAGCACACACATACAACAAACAAACAAAAAGGTGGAACCCCATGCGGGTAGTAGAACATTTGTGTTCCTTACATGTACTGAAATCATGTTTGCTCCACAAACAATTACCTCAACTTTTAAACTACAAAATAGGGTGCTTCACGGCTCAAGTTGCTAATCATTTTCTATCATGTAATGATCAATTCATGTTTTTTGACCATTCAAATGCATAGAAACATTGGACATTTTTGTAAAAGTAGAATAATATAATTCCTGCAGAAAACATTGATACATGACATTCACGAACATAACTTTATTCCCAATCCTAAGATGACTACTCTTTATAGCTTAGACCTCAAATTGCTTTTGACACAAATATACCTATCAAACCAATCCTTACAAGACCTCTTTTTGTGTAATTGATTTCCTTGATCTGATGCAGTGAAAAAAATAAATGGCGTCTATGAATCTTAAAGAGCCAAGTACTCCAAAGCAATAAAAGTCAAGGTTTTGACTGCTCAACCTGATGAAGGGCTCACAGGTTGACCTAGTTTGATGAGGGCATTGAAATAAAAATTGCCCCTTCAATTCAACCGTATAATATTCCAGCAACCAGAGTCTCATCCCCCTTCATCTTCTCAGATTAGCCCTTTGTACTCTCTCGCATACAATCACTCCGTATCACCCTGCCACCACTTTTAATGTCCTAGACATCCCAGTTGCTCATTCTATTTCTATTGTACTTCCAAATTTTACACTATTTTAACTTGCATATTCTGACAAGTAAAACTTCATGTTGTTCTGTTCTTAGTTCAGTAATACTACTTCAGTTTTAAACTAATAAAACTAATTTGTTGGTCAATTTGACGATGTCTATTGTAAACATCACTTGCGATCTTCATTTAATCTATTGATTCCTTGTAACTATTAGCATAGAATAAACTAACCCTTACTGGCAAATTTATACAGGGCAACAGAAATAATTACTTCTAAAGCATTTTATGGATCAAGCATGTTGTAAAAATAGTTTTCCCAGATTATGCCTTGAATCCTAAGCCAATCTGTTCTTGCATAATTGATTGTCTTGTATTCATAATGGACAGGCAGGTTCATAAGTTTGTGTTGACTCAACACGTTATTTATGTTCATAACGAGAATGTGATCATTTAGTGGAAGTAGCAGTTTTACAAAATTTGAATGGAAATATATGTGTTTGTGTATAATTCGTATGTATATTACTTGATTATAAATGATATACCATAACTTCATGAGATAGCGGTCCCATCACAGTTCAACAGGTCATCCATACATCCACTAGGATGTGTAAACTAAGACCACTCTAGGTTTTAAAACATTGGTTTGGCTAGACACAAGATGGTGCACCTATTTCTAAAGTCATAGTACTAGATATAAGAGAAAGCCAAATAAAATTATTTCCAGTTAACCAATATCTAAAGTAATAGCACTTGGTATAAGATAAAGGCAAATAAAATAGTTCCATTTAATAGGCTACCAAGAAACACTTTCCAGGGAAACATGAAGAAAGATTTTCCTAAATACATATTCAATTACAACCAGCAGTAGCAATTGATCAGCCGAAGAGTTGGACCAAACATGTGAGCAACACTTTACATGAAAAAACATTTTTATAGCTTCCATTCCTCCAAGTACCGATACAAGAGAAGCCTCTAAATCCCATTAATGCAAGAAAAGCAAATTACTGAAACTTTAATTACTGTATGGTGTTCTAACTTAAATAAGCTTCAAGCATTAACCTTAACTCTTTGAGTTTGTTGATCTAGTAAAACTACATAATTCATACCTTATTGGTGTTTTGGTCATCTTTCCACTGAATAACCAACTTGCCCTAGCACAGATACTTCTTATCTAATTTTTGCTTCACAAACTCAAGTAATTAATTTGGGATTGGGAAAAGATATTCATGATACTTGAGAGAAGAACATAATGCATGAGCTCACGTATATGAATTTCTTAGAAGAATATAACAGTAAAACCATTCTAAAATAGACATAGAACCCTGCTTACAGTTGTACTTGGTATCGTGCCCGACGACATTGTCATTCTCATCCACCAAAATGCATCTGCAGAAATTTAAGATGCCAAATACTGTCACTGTCTCAGCAAAAGCAAAGCTCACATCACAAAAGGTGAAATCTCATAATTCAGATGAAAACATTGAACTTAAATCATCACATAGAGAATTCCTGTCACCATGTGCACAATATAGTACCAAAAACACATTGGGAGAGAATCAAATAACAGTTTCAGGAGCCCACAGACAGCCAAAATAATTTCTTTACAGAAGCGTTGTCACTTCATCACAAAAATAAATGAGCATTTACTCAAAATATACAACTTAAGAATTTTTTTTATCTTTTTATATGCAAATCAACATAAAACTCAATATTAAATTAATAATATTTTTAAAAAAGGATTAAGAAGTCACAATCGTATCCACCATAACCTAACTCCAGTGTCACATCCATCTCAAATATTACACAATCGTATCCACCATAACCTAACTCCAGTGTCACATCCATCTCAAATATTACATTTGGACATGTATGCACAAAATAGTAACTTTATGCGTGAAATATGATCATGATGCTGATAATAATACGCCTTTTAAGAAACTCCTCGTTTGATTGGTAAAAATCTTGATAATTATAAGATATAATCAAAAAGGTTTCAAAATTGTAGCTGAATATAAATTTTGCCTAGGAATTCAAGAACTTAAAGGGTTTTGCCTAGAAATCCATGAACTTCAAGGGGTCCCCACTTGGCTACAACATGGTGATATAATTACGGCTTAAAGCTTAAAAGGTTCAATTAATTTTGCACGGAGACAGTTGGGATTTTCAATAAACTATATCAGAATTAGAAAAAAGGTGAAAAAAAGTGATATAAATGCAGCTTAGAGCTTAGAAGCTGAAAAACCAAGATGTTAATTGAAGCTTAGACAGACCCAAAAGATAGATATCTTACTAAAAAAATTGATCGGATTGTTAATTAAAGTTGCTAAATTTGACATCTACGGACTCTAGGCTAGTGGCACTGTCCAAGTAGATCAGAGAGTTGTAGCTTTTATAAAGAATCAACCCTCTCTACCGATATAAATCCAAAGAGGTCTCAGGTACCACTCTTCTCAAGCCGTCAACTAAGTTAAAGTTGATCCAAACACCTAATGTTTCTACGTTCAGTTTTCCCTCTGTGTAACGATCCAAGTAACTTAAATCGACTCCATTAATCTTCTTCAAACACACCCGCAGTCCCTTCACAGACTTCTCCAATTAATCCGCCAAAAGTTGGTGAAACAAAATCACTAAATAAACTCACAAGTAGTTGATACAATAGCATCAGCAACAAATTACAGAAACTCTAAGAACCACCACAACAAAATGAAGATGCGTAACAAATTCGTTTTCAAAAGACTAGTGAATCGATATTAACTAATTGTCAAGAACAACAATCAAATCGATAATACAAACACAGATCCAAACAATCAGTTCAGTAAAAACATAAGGTATCGGAACAACTTACTCATCGTCAAACATGAGACGTCTCTGGACGGCGTCCATGCCGGAATCGTCACCCATGGCGGCGATGGAAGAACGGCGGGAGATAGTAATAGAAGAGAATGAGGAGGAGATTCGTAGAAATGGCGGAGAAGATTTGGAAAATTGCGAGGAGGAGGAGTAATGCAAAGGGAGTGTGGTGGCGGTGGTTTTAAAGGTGGGAAATTTCAACATTTTTTGGTGGGGGGTTCACGCTCTTTGATACCTTTTAGATGACAGTTCTGACCAACAAATGTCCTATTAGTATTGGGTAATTTTATATTATTTTACAATTAGACACCTTGATTATGGATTAATGTCATTTTAGTCCTTGGATTATTTTTGCTTCGGGTTTAACACAATCCTCGTCATCGAGTACAGCTATGGGTGTAAACGAGTCAAGTAGTAGGTTAATCGAGTCGGACTTGAAAAAAATAGCAGGCTCGAGCTCAAACAATTTAGAGCTCGAGCTTGAATATTTCAGGGAACACAAGTTGGCGTATATCTAACTTTCAAGAATCACAGACAGGTGTGCTTCACCTCCAAGTTCACATATTGAAGAAAAAAAGTTTATGAACACATCAAAATTACAAGCTTTCAAATGACACCTAGCAGTTCATTTCAAAGGTAAAGAGTTCCATATACGATGAACGTTAGAATTTGGTCATCTTTTTAAATTTATCGACATTGATCACGCCCTTTGCATTTTGTCAACCGTATGTAGTTATGTATCGATTCAATTATTTGTTTTCTAACATACAAATTTTCATTGAAATAGAATCACAAACTTCTTTGGAGTACCACTTTGAGATGTGAAATAAATAATAAGGGTGTATGTGTAATTTTTTAAAAGTATTGGACTTGAAGTGAATATATGGAATAGTATAAGGACCATGTAAATCTTGGAGAGTCAAAATGTCAAGGGTGGGAGGTTCTTGTGTTTTTTATATTATTTTTTTTATTAAATATGTGCTCCTTGTTTGACCAAACCTACCAAGATACCAAAAATGAAATTGTAGTGTTAAAACTGGTTAGAATTTTTTTTTTATTACTCTGGATATCCAATCCGTTATGTGAGCTGACTAACTTCAGGATAATCACCTGCTTTACAGATAGTCCGGAGTTACCGCATTTGAACCTCCGTAGCCACAAAAGAATTTTGTTTCTCCTTGGATTTGAATCTGGGACCTCCTGATACTTTTGACCTTTGGAGTCAAGTTCAAACCAATCAGGCACCATCCATGTAGTTCAAGTTAGAAATTTTAGACCAATTAAAACGGGTCGGGTTTGATTGACCCATCAATATAAAACGGCTTGTGGAAAAGGGTTTTTAATCGGTAATCAAGGATTCAGATGGGTCGGATTCGTCGAGTTAAAAGCCTTGGACAATCCAATCTAATTAACTCGTTTTTAGCCTATATTTGATAAACTAGTTGATAAGTTAATTGTTGACTGATAAAATAAAGATAAAATGATCAATATGTTAATTTATACCAAACAGATGGTAAAAGAAATATATTTGTTTTTTCATAAATTAAACCAACAATTAAGATAAACATGAAAAAAAAAGCTTATATAAATATGAATCGTTATGTGGGTAGGGGGTTATGATAAAGAAGCTCATTTTCCGTGTATAAAGAAAAACTGTTTCACTGGTCGACAGTAGACCAGGAAATATCGAATTGTTATGTGAGTAGGGGCCTATGATTAGAGATACCATTGTTTCTGATACAAATTTCCTGTAAAAATGGAAAAATATCTTTGGAGTGCGTTAGGATTCCAATTTCTAGTACCATGGCCAAAGTCAACTATTGCTTCCATATCTCTACTAAATTATTATTCCAATAAATAATATATTCACAGCGTTTTTGCTGTGAAGTTTACGTGTAAAAATGTGGTCTCACGGGTCTCACGAAAACAGACTGGTCTCACGTGAACCCAATCCTATATATATATATATATATATATATATATATAAGGAGAAAGATATGGTTCATACGAAAACAATAATTAAATAAGAAAAGTAAGATAACAAATGTAAACCATATGATTCCTTAGATAATGTCATAAATACAAAAAAAAACTCCAATAATGAATAAACTAGAAGGGTACTCGCACAATTCAGCGAGATACATCTTCATTTTAATGTTTCGTTTTATTTTTTGTCTCTATTGATATAATACAATTTATGTGGTTTTGAGAAAGACAATGTTTTTACTTTTGAATGAAAATAAATATGACGATATCATAAAAAATTGAAAAAGTACATTGATATTAATGTTAAATTAACTGTTTAAAAGCTCTCTTTTGAGTACAATTTCTTTAGTTCAAATTTTTATTATAATTAATTTAGGTCTAATAGCGAAGTAATTTATTTTCGACTTAACAATATAATTTTTATAAAGATAATGATTCTGTTAAAACTCAATGATTATCCTAATTATATTTTGAATTTTTTATATTTGATTATTTTTATCTGCAGTTAGTTATATAAAATTAAAAATGGAGATTTAATAAGTTGTACTTACGCACAATTTACTTGTAATCTTGAATTTGAAGTAATATGCATCAATAAACAGTACTTCATGCATAAAAAATGGTTTTTAAAAGTTTTCGTCAAATGTTTTATAATATAGTATAGATAAAGACAAGACAGAACGGGACATGACTAATTGTTTGTCCTATGTTTGGTACGACTAGGACAGAACAAAACAAAACAGTTAAAATGACCATATTACCCCTAAATGTTGGTCGATGTTATTTTATATCATATAATGATTGTAAATGACAACAAATCAACCAAAAATATATTTAAATTAGTTAGTCTATGATATCAATATTTTTTTAACATTCCAATACCACAAGTAAATAACATTTGTCATACCACAAATTCAAAATACACACATAATTTAAAAAGTTTAAACACAACAATTGTAAATAACATTTGTCACGCCATCATCAAAAGTTTAACATTTCAAGAATGGAGGCCGGAATCGAGAATGGAGGTTGTGGAAGAGAAGAAAAAGGATGCAATTAAATTATGTTTGTATTTTGATATCAAATAATAAGGGTAATATTGTAATCTTAAATTTAGCCTCATGTTGTTCTACCTTTTTTGGTGGAACAAAAAAACTCAAAAATAGTCCTACTCAATCTTACTTTTGTCTCATGTTATCCCTTTTCATTTTTGTCCCATACCAAATATGAGACTATTTAATTTTGTCTCGTTCCATCCCACTCAGTCTGCATATCAAACACACACTTAAGACAATCTTAAAAGTCCTTATTTATGTCAGAGTTATTTAAAACATTTTTTTTTTAAGATTCTGCTTTTATCATTTTTATGATTTTAACGTGGTTTTATATTTTATTATTTTAACGTGGTTTTATATTTTATTAAAAAAAAGTCATTTAAGGGTAAGCGTAATTTTATTTTCATTTAAACAATTTATTTTTTTATTGAAGACAATATTTAAGAAAAAAAAATATAATTTTCATCAAAATTATATGTAATTTACAATCAATTGGTTTCTTTCCAAACAATTCTAATCACATATGATTTTTTTAAGGGTGTCCAGGCCAAAACTCGACTAATCCCCGGCAAATTTGGAGGCTAAACATGGCCCCACTTAAATGTCGCCAACACTTCCCTCCCAATCACTAGGCTGGAAGGTCTTTGATTCTAATCACATATGATTAATAGCATGCAAAACAATGATTTAAATTTACCTTTGAAAAAGAATATTAATGGAAACATAATCACATGTGATCTGTAGCAGAACATATTAATATGTATAAGATCACATGTGATTCAAAACGTAATTCATAATTCACAAATATAACATTTAATGTTGTAGATAACTTATAGTTGTTTTCCACTTGAATTTACTATGATCAATATCATATTTGATATTTTGACGAAAGTCAACAAATTTTTTTTGGAAAAAATCGATTAATTGTGAATATCACATGTGGTTTTTGACGAATATTGTAAATATTCAATAAAAAGTAATGTTTAGAAACGCTTATTTTAAATGTCACAAAAAAAAAAATTAAATGAAAAATTAATCATGCTTAAACCACGAAATTTGTATAAATATCATCAATAAATATCTTAATTAAATGTATTATATACCCTTATAAAAATAAATGAATTTTCATATATAGTTCATATGCAACAAATGACACATATGCCCTTTAAAGCCATTTTTAGAAAAAACTTATTTAAAGACATGATTCAAATAAATGATTGGCTGAGAATCATCCTCTTATTTTTTTAATTAGGGAAATGTTCATTTGAAACTAAAGAAATGATCATAACCCTTCATTTGGTCAACATTTGTGATTTTAATTGTGAAGCACTGGATAATTTCTTGCATGGGTATACAGAAGACAGAAAGGTAGTTTCGTAACTTATATAAGTAGGCGACAAACGGGTTCATATATGAATCCATGTGATATAGATATAACCCCACAGGTTCATGTGTACTGATTATTTAGTTCACATTTGCATCACAAGGGTTCGTACGTGAATCAGTTAATTAGTTCAAATGTGAATCATAAATTCAGATGTGAATTAGTTAAAATAGTTTATATGTAATTACACGAGTTTATACATGAACATATAGTTCATATGTCATATGTGAATCGCATAGATTTATATATGAACCCGTCTGTCGCCTATTTGTAAAGGTTACGAAACTTCCCTTTCCATTTTTTGCGTAGCCGCAATTATTGACCAGTCAAATTCGATGTTGATCGTATGAAAGACTATGATCACTTAATTACTTCTCAAATATTTACCACTTCTCAAAATAACCTTTGGCTATATATGTGTGTGTATGTGAGAGAGAGAGAGAGACCGAATACGAATTTTTTTTTTTTTTTACATTAATTGATGATTTTAAATATTTGTTACACATAATATTAATAAAAGAAAAATCGTCAACAATACATACCTTAATTAATTAATAATTCTTCAAAAGAATAATAATTAATAATTGAATTAAATAATCTACGTTTATCAAATATTATTATTGATGGAATATAAGAAATAAACTTTAATTTTTATATAATTAAATCTATTAAATAATAACAATAATTTGAGGAAAAAAAGGTTAATTATCTGCAATCTTGACCTGGGCCACACAAAACCCACCCCTAGGAACTACATGTGAAGAGACATTTCAGAGCAACCTCAACAA